ATTTTACTATTATGGCCTGAAAAAGGAAATTAAATTTTTGTTGATGTGTGTGTTAATGACCTGTTCATGTGAACTGCTTGTCTGACAGTGAGAATATCACAACCCTTTTAACATAGATAATGTTATGTTAATGAACACTGGAAACTTGGGAGAATCTTTTAATTTTAACTTCAGAAGTTATTTTTATTTAGCAAAAGGGGAAAATCCTTTTTTAGGTTTGAATTATGAATTAGATCATGAAATCTTTCACTCACACATTTAAAATTTAAACCAAATTTTAAATTCCTCTAAAAATTGATTCATCTTTTTTAATTTTTCCCTTTTTGTTTTTGCTTTTATTTAATTAGTATTTTCTGTATTCTTTCAAATTCTATTAAAATAGTGTCACCTTTTCTAAGTTGACTCCACTAAATTCATTTACTGTTATTATATATTGGGTTGATGTATAATTATCAGGCATTTTTAAAACAATATCTATAGAACGACCTTGGTTCTTGAATATCTCACATGTCAAACAAATCAGTTTTCAAACAGAAAATTTGAGATGAAAATGCCTCGGTTATCTAACAAAATTTTGGTTCTTGAACAACATTGCCGAACTGAGTTAACCTGAACAGAATAATTTCTGAGTTGACCGCCGTGTTGTATACATTCGTGTGTTCTGCCATGCTTTTCTTTTCCAATTTTATTGTAATGTGACTTTTTTTCTCTACATTGATTCCTATTGGAAAATTTAGTTTCAGTTTATGAACATTTCAGGTTACAAATGGCTTTCAGGAATGAATTAAATTTGTGAACTGAAAAAAGAAACAATTCAACAATAACATTTTTAAATAATTATTTCAGAATGTATGGTTATCGGCACGCATTTTTATAACCTGAAAATAAAATAATATTTTTATTAAAAAAGTAAACAAAACAGCAGTTTTTATTAACAAGTAACTCGCCTACAAAAACACCCAATAATTATTCACCAACCCAATATTAGCTCAGCGTGTAAAGCACTGGGCCAGAGATCCTGAGGATTTTGGTTTAATTCCTTGTGCTTGATGGATGTTTGTTGTCCCCTTCTGTGATCACAAATCAGGTGGAATTCTTTGCCTTTTTCTGTTTTTTTTGTCTCCTTCTGAATTCTCAGATCAGGTAGAATTCTTTGACCATTTCTATGAGTTGTCCCCTTCTAAGATCACAAATCAGGTGGAATTCTTTGTTTCCTGTTTGCTGTTCTCTTCTGAGATCTCAGAGCAGGTACAATTCTTTAACAATGGGAAGCACTTATTGGTCAAGTAACTATGACAATGTCTTTACACAAAGTATTTAAAAGTGATTAAAAGGAATGTAATATTTTAACAATTACCTTATGATTAACATCTGATTTTGTATACAAATCATTGAAGATGACCATGTTTGTCGTATGAAAATAATATTTATCATTAAGAAAAATTTGATTTATGAGTTTGAGAAGGATGACATACTAAATTCTTTGTATTTTGTTTATTGATATTTATGTAGTTTGTAAGTTTATATAATATGGCACAAGGCCACAGATGTAGAGCTCTCAATGAAGATCAAATTCATATATATGAGATTAGTTTTTTAACCCAATAATGCCTACTGTCCCAAAATTGAGATGCTAGGTAGAAACCTATAATTAACACTAGATTTTTATAAACCTTTAATTAATGCCAGATTTTAATTTTAGCCTTTTATAATTAATACTGGATTTTTATAAAACTTTTAATTTTAACCTTTTATAATTAATACTGGATTTTTATAAACCTTTAATTTTAACCTTTTATAATTAATACTGGATTTTTATAAACCTTTAATTTTAACCTTTATAATTAATACTGGATTTTACAGTAAGAATTAATGGGCTAACCACTACTCCAAAATGAGGTAATTATTTTATTTTTAGAGATTTTATTTTATGACAGAAACTGTTTGACATTCATTCTGTCACACATTCCCAACAGAGCCAAATTCTGTATATTATGGCAATAAAACCACTAAAATGCATGTGCTAGAGTATATGAAAAAAAATACAATTTTTTTGGCATACTAGCATGCTAGTTAACATTTGTGTCAGTCAGCTGTTGGCTCTCACACTGTCCAATAGAATCTTCCTGCCTATTTGTGGCAGCCAGCTATAGGCTCTCACACTAGCCAGTAGAAAATGGCTGCAAACTACATGAAAACCACTGTAGAAGCATGAAAAAATCGATTATTTCTACGATCAATGGGAGTTGGGAAATGTAAAGTTGGTCTTGGCCTTTCTGCTAACTTGGAGCATATGCATGTAAATTTTGGTGCAAATCCGTCGAAAATTGCCGCCATGCATTCATTACACACACACACACACACACACACACACACACACACACACACACACATCCTGCCTTTTATAGATAGAGATATACTTGTGTATAAGCCAATCTTTGTATTTTATGTTTGAGAAATATGCACAAATCCAAACCCATTATTCATTAGTCTTGACCTGATCTCAACTCCAATCACTTTCCCACTGCTGTAATATAGCTTTCCTGTGACGTTTCTGCAAATATTTTCATGGCAATTGTTTTGATGAGCATTTTTCTTTGGTACTTTAACTTCACAAGTTTAAGTGCAGTTCATGTTTGACAAATAAATCTCATTATTTTACTGTTGAAATTACTGGATGTAACTGTTAGTTTTATTCTGATAGTTTCTTCTCTCAGATTTTTCACTTATTGAACTCTTTTCCAGCTTCTCACTTTCATATTAACTACAATCTACAAAAATTTAAATGAAACATCAATTGTCATCTTCTGGCTCCTGTGCATTGTCTTTTCTCTTCAATAACTTTATTCAGTTTATCAGTTTCCTTTTCTATTCTCTTTCATCCTCAGTAAACACTTGTATTTTTTGTAGCTTTATTGCCTTTCTTGGGAAAAGTGATTAGAAAAAAATAAACTGAGGCAGCTAATCAATACATTATATTCAGATGGCACAGTTTAGTAAATTCCCATATGTGGAGAATATTTTTATGAAGTTTTAATATTTTGATATCTAAAACATTTTAAGTGCTATTTAGAATACTATAACTGTTTTTTTTTTTTTTTTTTTCAACATGCCACAGCATGTTAAAATCCTCACAGTATTTAGTACTGTTGAAGTTATCACTAACGCATTTTGTTGAGGTTTACAAACTCTGTTTTGTTCAATTTGGCAAACTAATCAATGAAATTTGCTTAAGCAAATTTGTTTGGAAAAATACTTTGACAAAAACCCTACTTCACAGTCTAATAATTTCTTTAATTTAATTTTATAGGACTTTGTCATAAACATTTTTTAAGAAAATTTCCTTTTTTTACTTTTTAACAGTGAAGACCAAATTCTTAACATTTCTTACTCTTGAGTATGCAACATACAAATGGCCATATGTATATATTTCTTTCTGGAGACAAATTCTAACTTTTTGAAGTATTTGGACTTTTGATTTTTTATAGTTATCGCAAATTCAGGGTGAACTGGAAACTGTTCTTGTAAAAAATAATATTTCATTTTTATTAAATAAGTATTATTTTAATCATTAAATTGTTTTTAAAATGGTGGGAGTATTTTACATGTTAAATAATAGAAATTGATATTTCCAAAAAAGTTAATAAAAAGTTATTGTACTAAGCTATGCACCCTAGTAAAAACCAAGTGTATCTCCTTACCTGTTTGCACTTCACTCCAAAATTTTGTTTCGGTCAGTCAATGTATGGTCATTTTAGAGTGTGTGATGGATAGAGAGACTAACATAAATCACAGAATTTTTTATATATATATATATATATATATATATATATATATAAATGCAATCATCAGGCCATGTGTGCTGTTATTTTTCTCGGATATTTATACATATGGGTCAGTGGTGCATTGTGGGTAGTCTATTATGGCGGTTATTTTACCGGAAGTCGTTTATTTATTTATTTGGGTTAAATTATTTTGCTTTTAACCGCCATAATAGACTACCCACAATGCACCACTGACCCGTATATGTATAAATAGCCGAGAAAAATAACAGCACACGTGGCCTGACGATTGCATATAGCATGAAACAGACTGTCGCCTCTAAGTGTTGACTTCTATGTTCACTTTTATATTTACACATGCTCTATCTCTGATATCGAGCACTTTATCCCATAAATATAGCAAACCTTAAGACTATATTTCTTCTATATATATATATATATATATATATATATATTCTGTAGTGAACTTGATACGCATATATTGTAGAATAGGAAATTAAAGGCTTGTGAAAAATGTAACTTAATATATAAAATTCACAGAAATAAAAAAAAAAAAAACATAAATATCTGATTCACAATATTTTCAATTTAAATTCCTTCAATATCTGAGACATTCATGTCCTCAAAAAGATAATTCTAAAGTCATCTATGTATATTTTTTTAATTGAGTTCACGTTCACTCTAAGCAAGGCAGTAAAGCTACTCAGACACAAGATTACTATTAGAAAATAGAAAATAGAAACATTACTATGGAGTGAGAACAAAAGAAGAGTAATCGAGATGATAGTAGATAGCAATTGATATTGCATTTCAATTTTTTGCAGATTAAAGATGGCTGAAAATCAAAAAGCAGGAAGTGAGTTCCACAAGCAAGAAGTGCAAGAAAAGAAACTGTTAGCATAGAACTTACAGTTACATCTAGCCAACTCAACTGTAAATTGATGAGATCTCATCACCAGTCTAGTACTGCACTTCATACAGTTTAGGTATCATAATGAAGAACTCACCAAATAATTACCATGAAAGTATTTTTTCATAGAAAGAGCATAAGGAAACAACTTTACAGTAGTGGGAAAGTGACTGAAGCCAAGCTTTTAAGTAAATGTTTTCTGTAGATAAAGGATTCCTTTTGTTTTGTTTTTTTTTTTTTTATTCAGGGTATAACACTTACTATTCTATTTTTCAAATTTCCATCTGTTCTTTTTTCACCTTGGTCTTATGATATCTATTCTGTTCATTGCTCCCTCATATTATCCTCAAAATATATATTCAGTACCACATCCAGTAATATTTAATACTAGCAGTAGAGCCCGGCGTTGCCTGGGGATGTAACAGTAAGAGATAGATCAAGTATCAACCATCATAAAGACTGAAAAATAAAATTGACATAGATTATTGTTTAAGGTTGACGGACACGCATGTCTTAATTAGTTTTATTTTTTTGTTTTATTTTATTTTTTTTTTCACGAATTGGTCAAACCCAAACTCAAACAAAAACATTGTTTTCAATCGTTATGAGTCTACTGATTGAATAGAATTTTATTATAAACAATTGTCTTGTAAATGGAATTTTTAAAGCATTCTGAATGTAAAAATAAAAAAAAGTGTGCAAGAGAATAAGAAACACTACCTGCCAAAAAAAAGTGAAGTTTTGTTGAAATCAGTTGAAAAATGTAGGAAATTTGATCCCATATATAAACAAACACACACAAACAACCAACCTGGGTTTTATAATAAGTATAACTCGATAACAATAAGTATAACACAATATGAGTTGTCCCCCTTTCATTAATGCCTCTTAATCTTGTTTTCAAATTGATTCCGTGCAATAACAATTGTGTTTTCCCATTTTTGGCACTGTCAGAACTACCACAAGGTAATTTTACATAGTCCTATGAAGTTTTGTTGAAATCGGTTGAAAAATGTAGGAAATCCGATCCAATATATAAACGTACAGACACACACACACACACAATCTGCATTTTATAAGTAAGATGTAAAATTTTTAAAAGACATCAATGATAACAGAGCATCTATATAAACATGAATTAATTGGAATATTTAATAAATACAAATTAATTAAGGAACCAGTCATTCACATGCTGGTAGAAATAAAGATATAAATAATTTTTGTGAGTACTAAAGATATTCTGTAAAATGCTTCTAAAATCTAAGTGTTTTATTGTAAAACAAACCATCCCAGATATTTGAGCACTTTTTATATATGAATGTTGAATTTTGTGAAAATTGGCAAAATATTGTCCTTGAATATAAGCCTACCCAGCATTTTATCATTCTTTTCTTTTTTTTTTAACTTATGCATAAGTATATACAGTAATACATGGGTAATGCATAATTATTTTTTTACTATTTCATCTGTTTTATAAAGTTTCAACATGTTACTCACATTTTTGTTTATTTTTGAGCTGACAACAATAGCACCATCTTCCAAATGTAACATGTTTTTATTTAACATATAAATTGAATGAAGCACATGCCTTAAAAAAACTTAGAAACCATTTAGCATCCTGCAAGTTGAATCATTTTTACAGCATTGAAGCATTATATACTTGATAAATATATATATTATACAAGATATTTTATATATTATACAATATATTGTACAATAGGAAAATAAAAGATTGTACAAAAAAATAACTATATAGAAATATAAATTTCACAATATTTTCAATTTAAATTCTTTCAAAATCTGAGTCATCAATATATCCAAAAATCTGTAACCATTCTTTTTGAGTAATTTTATCATTTTGGTCCCAATGAGGTGTGTCACTGTCAAATTCATTTGATTACACTGACGTACCTCATTGGGAACCGGTCATTCACATGAGAAATGAAAACATAAATAAAGTCTTTGAGTGCTAAAAATATTCTGTAAATGATTCTAAAATCTAAGTAAAACAGTGTTTTATTGTACAACAGTCACTTCAGATATTTTGACACTTTTTTTAAATAGGTGTTGAATTAGTGGAAATTGGCCAAATATTAACATAAAATATCAGCTTAACTCCCATTTTATTATTTGATTTTTATCTAAATTTAAATGTTTTTGTCACCTATTTATCTTATACATGAGTATATACAATAACTGTAATTAGCATTCTATATTCAATTGGCAACTAAAATACTTTGTATTGCAAAATACACCTTTAAACTTCCCAGTTAAAATTCTGATTTGGTTCTGCAATCCAGTATCTTATTATCTGGGCACCTGAAAACTAGAGAAAAAGTAATGACTTTGTTGAGAAAGCTGCTTATATTGTATTTTTTATGTTCATAAAATGCTTTATTGAATTTATATGATAAAAAAAAACTTGTAGTTGTGTGTTTAACCCATCTTGTTTGTCATTGAACTCGTACAAAAAATAAAATCAGTGTCAGAAAAATGAAACAATTTAATTTCATTAAGAGTAATAAAATCCTTTTTATGACTTTGTACTTGTCAATTTATTTGGACAACTGAACCAAGATCAGATTAATAAATAAAAGCTTTTATGATTGATTGATCATTGTTGTTATTCTATATAACTTATAAATGGATTCAGATGTTGAAGAGTTTTTCAATTTCAAAGTCTGAAAAGGACATACATATCATTTTAATATGTATACTGAGTATTCAATGTTGTATATAGAGTTTATAGATGCAAAAAGTGTGGATATAGGAATCAACACTGCATAGTTATTGTCAGTTTTCCTATATCAGTTCAATTGTAGCGGACTGTGGCGGTGATGAGTATGTAGAAGAACACATGTGAGTTAAAATTTCCTGCTAGCCGGTCCAACCACATGAGAATATTGGACTTTAATTAAGTCCAAAGAAAAACAAACAAGACCGATAAATATATGTAAACTAATATATGTATTAATAACAAGTTACAAGCACATGGACAGTGTGTGTGTTGTGGTGAGTGTTCATACATGCGTGTATTGTTCTTAGCGTGTTCCCAGAATTTGGGAAACGCTGTATCTGTGAGAGCTCACATCTGCTAGGTGGTATAAGGCCCAAGGCCCGAGGAAAAAAGAGATCGAGGCAAAGGGTCAGCCAGTATTTATAGCCAGGGGAGAGAGACTTCTGGTGAAGGGTTAAGGAGCTGAGGAGGAGCTAACTCCGACACAATCATCAGAACATATATGTGTGTGAGGCTGGAATGTGAAGAATGGATAGTGCCAGCCTAGATACTCCATTATTGGTCTTTTCTGATTTTTGTAAAGATAGACCCTAGCAGAAAGAATTTGGTACTTTTTGGAGTAGTACAGTAAGAAATCTTAGAGAAGGTATTGAAGGAAAGTGAAAAGAATGAACTAAACATCAATTACAAGAGAAGAGAGAATGTATGGTTGTTAGCAAAAGGAACAGCTCAACATGCAAATTACATACTGGAGATACCATAATCAAACAGTTACAACAATTTAAATACCTGTGAAGTGCAACATTGAAATCTGAAGGCGCATTGGGATTCCAAAAGATGCCTTTCAAAGGAAAGTAATAAGAAATATAAAAATATCATTAGAAACAAATAAAAGAATAAACTACATCCAGCAGCAATACCTCTGATTGGGAGGCGTTGTGGAGTGTGGAACCCCTTCTTAATTGTTGTTGTTCACTGTGATCTGGGGTGGTAGTACCTGTTAGGGTCCCATCTATGGGCAAATAATGATCCCCCAAACAGGGGTAAAAAAGTGTAAGTATAGATTTAAAAAAGTAAATAAATTATCAGCAACAGATTTTTGTAAAAAGAAAAAAATTACTCAAGCTCCCAAGAAAATTAAATTTTGGCATTACATTTGAAATATGAGTAAAGCTTGGCCTACATGGAAAAGATATTCAAAAGCTATAACCTTGTCATGCAAATAGAGAACAAGTTCATTGAATACACAAAAATTGAAAGAGGACTTTTACAAAGGATATATTTTCACACTGCCTAGTTAACCTATACAGTAACTTTAATCTACCAATTCAAATCAAGGATAACCTGATTTGAGAATCATTTTTTTTTCATTGTCAAAATTCAGTGGACTTATATTAAACTAACCTAGAAGCTGCCCTTTGGGGGAACTTTATTCTAGCTCCTGCAGAAGGCATTTAGGCCTTCAGCCTTTTATCTATCCTATGTATGTAAAAGTCAGAATTTTTATTCGTTGGCATAATCTTTCTTCATATATGCAACCAATCTTCATAGTTTGTTTACATTTATTTTACACACAATTTTTATTTTCTTTTAAAATCACCATCCTGTATGACCCCTTCACATAAAGTCACTCTTAAGTCATTAGGGAACCTGAATTATGTAATATTCCAAATACATCACAGTACGTGTGCTAGAAAAAGGTAAAAAAAACATATGAGCAACGTTCCGTGCCCTGCTTAAGTTTTCATTAGACAATATCCATTGCAATTGTGACAAAAAGTGAAATTAAAGTTCAACCGTTAATAAAGGATTATTTTTTAAACCTTTCACTCTGTTCAATATTTAAATTTAATTTTAAATGAGTTATTTAATTTTTAATCTCATGTAATGACACTACATTTTTACCTGTTTCTACAGGTTGTTTATCATTTGTCAAGATTGAAAAATGGATGAACACATGTAAACTGTGCTTTATTTATATATGAAAAACACCAAAATAATGTTAGAAAGTTTGTTAGTTACCTGCCACTAGAGTCAGTGTTAGTGTGGGCATTAGCATTAGACCCTTGCACTAGATCTACCTGCCTCATATCCTTCAATTTCTATTTAGAAAGACCAACCCAGTTTTTAGATACATAATTATGACTAATGATTTTATCATTATTGTGTGTGGCATCATCTTGTTTGAGAGTAATTTGAAGTGTCTAATTACCAAGCAAAAAGGGCACTGTAGGAGAGTTATCTATGCCCATTTAGGAGTTTTGTGGATGGTATATGCAGTTCTGCACAAGGTAATCTTTTATAGTTCTGAGATGCTGATGTGTCCAAGAATTTTATTCACCTGATTATCCATACCCTTCTTAATCATATCCAATGCCACTATCATAAGAGGGATAATTGTAGTTTTAAGTTTTTTTTTTTTATTATTATCATGATCATGATCATCATGATCATCATCATTACTACTACTACGTCTATCATCATCATCATCATCATCATCTTTTTCTTCTTTTTCTTCTTCTTCTTCTTTTGTAGACACATTTCCTTCCAGAAACAAAATGGTTAGGAATGGCATCATGACTTTTTCTACTGTGTATTTGTGTTTAATAAAATAAAATAAAAACCCTGATGACACATCCATATTTCCCATAAAGCCTTTTGTAGGGTGTGAGCTGTACTTGTAAGAACATTTTTTTTTTTTGTATTTCCTTCAGACATAAGCTGCCAGGCATTCCTTCACCGAGTCTATCATAACCTTTTTCAATCAAATTCAGGGCCCCAACCGCAACTTGATTTACTGATGTCTTCTTGTGCTGCATTTTATTTTTTAGATTTTCACTTCAAGATCCTTGTATTATGTTGGGTTTTTTGGAGAACTTCAAAGCTACATTGCAGTCTGCCAGTCAATAAGAAAGCACATTCTGTTTTTGTGGGGGCTTTTTTTATCTCTATGTCTGGAGGGTTAGCTTTAATTTTCTGTCTGTGTGCATTGTAAGGTCCCATAAAATTGTTACTTGTCCTATGTCTATAACCAGGTCTGGGTGGTGTTCATATCAGTCTTATTTTTCCTTCCCATAAAATTTACAGGTTCTCCAGTATAGATATTAACCCACCCTTATTATTATTATTATTATTTATGTCATGGTTGAATGATTGTATTTTTCTTACGCTTGCTTTGCTTTATTTTCAGTGATTTTAGTGGACATTTGGAATATCATCGAAGCATTTCGGGAGAATGGATTGAACACTCTGGAGCCTGATTCTGAGCTGAATGTGTCACGCCTGGAAAGTATATTGTCCAGCATCTTCCATCAGCTGAACAAAAGGCTCCCCAGCTCTCAGCAGATTGAAGTTGACCAATCAGTAAACTTATTGCTCAACTGGTTAATAAGTGCCTATGACCGGTGAGTTTTTATTGTTTCTCTATCTGTTAAATTTATCAATGATTAATAAGTTAGTCTCTTCATTTTTCTACCTTGTAGTAAGTTCAATTTTAACTGAATGGTCAGTATTTGAGACCAAATGCTGTATTTAGCTAAATTTGGTAGCCATGTTGCTTAGTGTAACATAATGGTTAGTAAGCACATCTTACACATTTTAGTTCATGGATATAGTGAGTTTAATCTTCGTTGGGTGTTCAACTGCTGTGGAGCCATACCTGACTAAGTTTATTTACATTTTTTGCAGTTTGATTAATATCTTCATCTTTGTTGTTATGAACCCAACATTTCAGCCATTGTAACCTCTGACCTTCTTCAGGTGTATGTTAATTCAGGTAACATTCAGGGAATGTTAAACTGAACCTTTTATTTAATCTATGGAAGTAGATTGTTTTCCTTCTGCTGTCCATATCTAGGGATATATCATCTTGGTTTATTTTTCTAATAAAACTCAAGTAATGTGCCATAAAAAAAATTTTATTTTTCAAAATGCTCTTACCAAAGAAAGTTCTGCATTAATTACTAGCTGATGGTCACTTGTTTAGAAATACGAAAAAAGTAAGTATAAAAAAAAAAAAATTATTCCTTATAAAAACAATTATTAAGAATAATATTTTTATGAAGGAGATGACAGAACATCAACTGGAAGAATGATGAAAGGATAATCATTACTTAGAGTTATGATAGGAAGTTGTGGAGAGTCATGATCACGTACATGATTAACAGACATAGTTAATAAAAGAGAAAAACTGAAAAATTCTCAGCCTGCCCAAGGGAATATAAATAAATTCTGATTTTTAATCAGATTTTAGGAAGTGGGTTAGGCTAAGAATTTTTCAGCACCTTTTTGAGATGCTGGTTTTGTTGACCTTTTTCTTTAGTGCAGGCTTGTTTATTGGTTTTCTGTAAGAATTAAACTTAAATTTTTTTAGTTTCAAGAACAAATACATTTATTTTGATAACTTGAACATATTCACATGAGAGCTTTGATGCAGAGGAATAACTTCAAAAATTCCTTCCAAACGCTAAACAAAATATTAAGAAACAGGTAAGTTTTATTAGAGACAAAGTATAAGCAGCTAAAGTTGAAGAGACAGAGATATTCTTCTACAAAGGGGATACTGAGAATACCTCGGACAGAATACAAGGAAAAGTTTCCAGAAAGTGCGGATAAAACACTGATCTCATACTTTAAATAAAAATGAGACAGTTGAAATTTTTGGAACATATTCTGAAGAAGTATGGCTTTGAAAATTTAATATTCACAAGACAAAGGTTGTAAAGCATCAAATGTTGATTAGAACAAGAAACAGGAAATTGTGGAGAGCCATGATCTTCCACTTCCTGAAGAAACATGGCCTGACAATTGCCTCTGGGTGTGACTACAATGTCCACTTTTATATTTACATACACTCTATCCCTGATATTGAACACATTATCCCATAAATATGCCATACCTTAAAACTATATTTTATCATATATATATATATATATATATATATATATATATATATAATGCATTCAGTGGAGGAGGGTCATATTCAACATTTGTTAATTTTGCAGCAATATGTGCTTAATGGTTTTAGGCAGTTTTGATCAACATTTGTTTTCATGGTTAGCTGTAAGACATTGTAAATGTACGACTGCCTTACACTGAAGTAAAATAATAACAATAATAATATTAAGAATTTATTACAGGAAGAATCAAGCTTTTACAGAAACATTGTTGACAATTATGTATTTAGTTAGATAATAAATAAATAAATAATAATATAAATTTTGATGCTATATTCAATTTCTTATTAGGTATTTTTCATCTTCTCCTTTGTTATTGGCAGTATTTTAGAATACTTTGTTTGCAAAGCTAAGTTTCTTAAGTTGAACAAACTGGAGCTATTTCATTTACACTTTGTTACCTTTCTTTTCCATTGTTGTTTTTAGATTTTCTTCCAGTCATTTTGATGGGCAATAATGAAATTCTGAAATTTAGAATGATCTTATTCCATTTTAAAAATAAAGTCTGTAAAACAGAATATTTTAAATTAATATACAACAAAAAATAAAATACTTTTGACAAAAACCTTAATGATTTCACTATAATTATGTAACAATAATGTAATGATATTCTGCAGACAAATCTGTGGTTTATATTACCTCATCTCATTGCATGGTTACGAACGATAAACCTAAATGAAGCTTGAAATATTGTATAATTGGCTCTAATTTTTTTGTAAAATACTTGGATATAATATAATGAATAATTTTCAGTGTAAAAAATAATTTTTGATTTTTTTTTTGTTGAATATGCCCCTCCTCTACCGAATCTGTTATATATATATATATATATATATATATATATATATATATATATATATATATATATATATATGACGACTGGTCAGTCATTTGTTCAGCACCCATAAAACCCTGTGTTGAGTGGGCCTTAGTTACAGTTTCTAGGAGAGAGCACATTATCTGGAATGATCAACAGTCTGAATATGGCCAGTACACTGAAATCCTCAGTCACAATAACTTGCAACTTCATGCTAGCCCAACCATCTATAACTCCCAAATATTTCCATCTATCCAATTTCACTTACAAGGCTTGGGTCAACTCATGGTATGCTTTTCAAACACTTTCCAAAGGTGTCACATGCTGTGATTGCCTTGACAAGTCAATAATATCAAGAAGTCACCTTCCTGACTAATTGACCATAGTGAAATTCAGTTGAACTCTGTAACCACTTGTGTGTGTGTGTGTATATATATATATATATATATATATATATATATATATATATATATATATGTGTGTCTCCTGTTAGCATTCCTATGCTTTATTATATAGTGTATTTAGAAAGCAGAATGCATTTGTTAATAAGAATAAAATATGCGTCAAATCATGAATGATCTTTCCAAAAACTAAGATAGATATATGTAGTTCTTTTTTTTTTATTCAGTTCAATAATCATGCTGGTAAAATAAACAAATGATTATTTAGTCATAAGGCATTGTCTATTCTATATTATATCTGATTCTTTTTGTGTGTTTGTTTGTAACACAGGAAAAAGAGCACATCATAGCAAGATTTTTTTAGGGCAATACCATTAAAATGCTCTAATTATAAAAATAAAGCAATTTTTGGTTCAGTTTGAAACTTTATCATAATTGTGTATGAAGAGATCTTCATTTATGCTCATCCTGATAATTTTTTTATGATCAAAGTTGGCAGGAAAGCAAGAAGCCAGAAGAGAGTTCAACAAGCGAAAAGTGAAAAAGAATTTTGTATTAGTTGCTCTTCCATTTATATCACATACTTCATTCATCATTACCATTTCTAAAAGTAACTCTCTAGCTTGAGTGGCTCTTATGCCTTGTATTAAGTGATTTTTAATAATAAAAAAATAAAGCAGCAGCTCAGTCGGGCAGATTGTTTCAGAAGAAATTGTGTATCAGCATGAATATCAACATCTGTGTTGAATTCTGATCTTAAATTTCACCGTTTTGTATTCAAAGAGAAAATGAACTTAAAGTTATTCATTAAAGAAAAGTATATCATTTAATTGACTTTTTTTTTACCTTTTGGAGCTCTGCATAAAAAATAAAATTACTTTGGAAATCTAAAAAAAAAAACAGAGATCACTTATATGATCTGAAAAATAAGTGGTAATCATGAGGCACTCAGTGAGAATCAAACTCAGGAATTTGGAAAAGGTTACTATTACCAATGTTAACATTATCTAGTTAAAATTTTTATATTGTTGAGAGTCAATTTAAAAATGCTGTCTTAGAACCATTAAATAAATACATTCTTCTCTTTTGTTTTTTTGTTTAAATCTTTTTATTTATTCATTTCTGTTGGCATTCTTCTGTCATTTCTATTCCAAAATCAAATTAAAAGTAATTTTGATTTTGACATTTTGATTTTTGCCTTCTCGACTGATATTCTCAACTGATATTCATTATTAAAACTTTCAAGAAGCTTAATAATCTTTTTCAAGGTTGAAGATAATGCTGAAGAGTTTAAATAATAAAAATGAAACTTGAAGAAAACTGTTTCCAATTTGTTGATGGAATTGAAGCCTGCCACACAGTCAGATGATTTGAAAAACCACTCAATAGAAAAGAACATTTTTATTGTATAATATCACAGTAAAGAGTTATATCATTAATGATATTTTTTCTGTAAATCTACTTAATAAATTTCATTAAGAATGTGTTTCCTGTGACATACAGACTTTATATAGACAAAAATTGATATAGGATATGTTTGAATAAGTAAAAATGTACAAAATAGCAAGCTGAAAAGGTACTGATTACAATAGGAAAAATGTTCTTATACTTTTCATTTGTTGTAAGGTAGGTAATAGGATTATATTTCCATTTTATAAGATTAGATTTGGGACATGTATACAAAAACCATACCATAAGCACTATTTCCCTACCTCTTGTATCTAGTTGATTACATTTGTAAAAAAAAGAAAACTAGAAGAATTGCATTTCTAGTATTGAAAAGAATCTCTTCAGAATGTTTTATTAGTAAATGTAATAATTGATAATTTGAAATTTACTCTCACTATGAAAACTACATTTATTCAGAATTTTGGTTTTAAAACATTTATTTGTGGATCATGAATAACTTTTCAGTTTTACTTCTACTTAGTTTTGATATATATCACATAGAAATATGTTTTTCCATTTCAGATTAGAACCAAAAATAAAATAATTCCTCTTTATAAAATGAGAATTATTATCTTATAAAAGGACTGTTGGATATTCCCATTTATTTTTTTTTTAGGCTTTTCCTTAGCTAAATATGAATATTATTTAGCTTGCTAAATGCATTAGGGCCAGCTGAAAAGTTCATTGACTGACCAAGATACTCTCATGGAATGTAGTCAAATGGGTTTATTTTTCAACATAGTCTCCTTTGCAGTCCACACACTATCTCCATTGGTATTGCG